GATGCTAGGACTTACAGGATTCTCCAGCAAGGATCTATACATTTTTCTTTAAAAGGGAATATTTGGCAATAATAATTTTTTTCTAAATATGTATTGGCAAGCACTGAGTACTGCAGCGATAGTAGTTCTTTAATGCACCTGAAATACCAAAATTAGTTACTCAAAGTCATACGCCAGCATTCAAGGGTAGCCATAGGCGTTTCAAGGCGAGCTTTATTAAATTTCAAGGGCAAAGGAGAGGTCAGACTGTACACAAAGCAAAGTAGGTAGGGGCATTTACTACTAACTACTCGTATATATCAGCCAAGTTAAGTGGTACGTGCCTCCGACAAACTGTTGCAGCTTGTTTTGGACGCTTTGTTGTTTGATCTGCTCCATCGTAGTCCTCGTCATCACTCTTCGTGTTTTTTCGTTGTATAATTGAAGTTTCGGCTACATGAATATGTAAATATTTTAATATGGCTCTTTTACCCTCAAACGGCGCGAAAAGTTTTCGATTATGTTCGTATCATTTTATGCGTGATTCTCGTATTTGAGACGCTCTCCGCAATTATCGATTTCAAAGGCATGCGTGCTTACCCAGTAGGAATAAGTAATGGTATGGTTGTCTTAAATGGATGTTGCCTATAATTGAACAACCGAAACTTAACGTAACTAAATGCCACGCCAAAATCTGTTTCATTTTGATTTTCTAATGGGCGAATGAAAGAAAAGCGGTTGATAAAAGAGGGCAAAGAAGCGTGGTATAGCTTATTTGATGAATATAATACTTAGGCCGAACTAATGGGAAAAGAGACAAGGTGTACAACTCAGATATCATCTATGATATTTCAGGTGTAGGACAAAGACAGCACTCTTAAGTGTAATTTTCGGAAGTAGCTTTTATCGTGTTTTCTCATTTTTTTAGAGCAAAATTTGTGTTTAAGAGATAGAGATTTTTTTGAAACTACTTGAGGAAACAGGCCTATGTCTTTATACTGAGTTATTCTTCGTTTTATTTGGCGCTTCTGGCCGAATTTAACAAAGTACGCCAGTTGTTTCTCTTCTGTGCCAGCTGCCGCCAATTGGAAATGCCATGTGAAGCCAAGTCCTTCTCCTGGATCTTTCCATTGCAGTGGAAGTTAGTATTGGATCTAAACGATCGAAAAAAGGACAAACCAAAAGTTACCCCATTTACCAAATTTGGCTCTAGTTCGGAACTAGATATCAAAAGGTTAGAATATGCTTCGCCTTAGGTGGGTCTGAATGAACAAACAGAGGGACAGTGTGTCTTAGACTTTATTCGCAGAAGTTGAATCTGGTTCCGTACTGTTAAAAGGTCACAAAATTGATAATGGCTCCAAATTAAGGATTTCTTCTCGGAACACAGGCAACTAGGGTGTAATAGTCCTCAACTGACGAGAACTATCAAACGAAGGGTAGGATACCTTACTTCTCATCCACCAAATTCAGTGCTTCTTCCAAACTGATGAAACTGAAAATAACTTAAACATCTCTACTTATTACATAGAAACAAATAGTACTATTGAGCTTTCCTACAGGG